CAGCAACCCGGCCCCCGGCTCAAAAAGGTTGCCTACCCCTGGATTAATATATTTTTTCCAGGAATATCTAGGTCCTCCAGAGCAAATTCTGTTGTCAACCTCTGGTGAGTGTCGCACTGGAGGATCTGGACATTCCTAGAGAAGTGTTCTCTCGTGATTTTTATTTATATTTATATTTGTGTTTTTTCCCCAAAATTCAACAAAATCCCAAATACTTCTGGTCACAAGCATTTTGGTCCCTGACATTTCTGTATAAGGGCCAATCAGCAGTTGATGCAAAAAAACTTTGCTTAAGAGCCAGGAGAATTCCTGGTGCTTTGGATGCTACTGAGCTAGATGGACATTTGGGAAATTGTTTCAAAGATGGGTTGTATTTAGGGTACTGGTGCCATTTCTGAACTGCTATAGTTGCCACAGCTCAGAATTCAATAGCATGTATGTCTTATATGCCTTCAAGTCATTTCTGACTTTGGGCCTTTGCAGACTGCTAGAAATAGTGCAAATTGAGTCCACTTTAAGGGTTAGGGTTAGGATTAGGGTTAGGGAATCATGGGAACTGTATTTTATTGTGGCACCAGAGCTCTCTGACAGAGAAGGCTCAATGTCTCAGAAAAAAAACCAATTCCCATGATTCCCTAGCACTAACCCTTACCCTAAAAGTGGACTCAATTTGCACTATTTCTGGCAGTCTGCAAAGACCCATAGTGATACCATGTCATGGGGTTTTCTTGGTATGTATTTTAAGAAGGGGTTTGTGATTGCCATCCTCTGAGGCCGAGAGAGTCTGATTTGCCCAAGGTCACTCACTGGGTTTCCATGGCTGAGTGGGGATTTGAACCCTGCTCCCAGAGTCATAATCCAGCACACAAACCACTACACCATGCTGGCTCATGGGTCCAAAACACACTGCAGAAATAATCCAGTTTGAGACTGCGTTAACTGCCTTGGCTCAGTGCTAGGGCATCCTGGGAACTTAGTTTTGTGAGACATTTAGCCTTCTCTGTCAGAGAGCTATGGTACCACAATAATCTATAATTCCCAGGATTCCCTAGCACTGAAGCAGAGCGATTAAAGCAATCTCAAACTGGCTTATTTCTGCAGTGTGTTTTGGACCTTAGACTGCAGTTTAAAAGGTTGAAGAAACAATGTGCTTTTCCAGTGCATTCTCACTTCATAATAACTTACCTATTTATAGTTGCATATGTAGTTATACAACATATCTCTAACTGGACATGTATCTTGCTGTGTTCCCCCCCCCCCTTGGCCAGTCTGACTGCTTTTAGTGTTTGCTTATTTAAAGTTCAATGCCAACAAATAATTTAGAATCAGAGAGTGGAAAAAGACATGTGTGTGCGTGTTAAGTATAATTCCCAGAATCCCCTAGCCAGCATTGTCACTGGATTAGAGATTGGAGGAGTTGTAGCAGGAGAAAAAACCAACACAAAGCTTTGCCAAGCTGTTTAAAATTTACATATCTAACAAGGAATTTACGAGCATTTCAGTTATAACGTGAAGGAAGTAATAAAAGAAGGTTTATTTGCTAAAATTTCCTCCATCGGTAACCTGTTAAAGATAAAAAGAAAAGGTTGGCACCCACGCTATGTGAGAGATTTCAGCTCCTTTATTACAGGAAATAATTATTACATACTCTCATCTATGCCATTTCTTATTATTGTATTTACAGGTTTGTCAGTATTCCAAAAAAGACAAAAAATAGCTCCCTGCCCCATTGAGTTTACAGTCTTACACTCATACAGAAATTGTGCGTACAGTCGTCCTTTTCGAT